TGATGAGTTTTCGTGTTCCTTCACGCTTTTATAAGCGCAAAATGAGTAAAAAGAAATTAACACAGTACAAACGCAGTGCTCATACATACACACATAAACTCAACCATATGAACACATGCATGCACAACATACCCCTATGAACATTTTTGAAAGAGTGAGGTAGCACATCATCTTGAAATTGATAAAATTGCCACAGATGCCTTTATAGTCGACGAGAACGTCTTCTGTAACTGAACACACATCGTCGGCAGGCCTAAAACCAATTAAGTAAAATGCGAGCACAAATGCCGAGATGAGACTACCATCGTCCTTCTAACCATCAAAGCACAGATTGACGAATAAACATGTGGTTGGATGGTTAGAAGGACGATGGTATCCCCAACCCATCAAGGTTTAAGGCCTAGACTTTTCCCCGCAAAAAAGAGAGAAAGGTTTAAGGCCTAGACTTGACGTTGGTGCTCACATTGTTTCTAGATTTATTTTAAACTTCCAGCTATGTTTGTTTAATGGAAGGAGATGTTCCTGTTGATTGCGATGTGTCCATGGTAACTCTGTAAAATCTCAAGATGTTATGCCGGCTCAACCTCTGAAAGATGTTCATAGAGGCAAGTGTATGCAAACAACTTTGATTAGACCGTGTTAAATAAATAAATAAACACCGGTTGGTTCGCACGTAAAAGAAGTACTATGGTGTAATAATTTGTGAAACCGATTTTGGTAGTTGGTGTAAGCAACATAGAATTTTCTTCCTCGACATGACAACTGAGACATCTGGTTCACCAGCACCACAAAATGTGCAATTATTCGAGTGGGATGAAACGCAATAGTGTTCTCCTGTGCTGTCTTCAGGATTCTTTTTCTTTTCATGAACATGTAAAAAGTCTTATGTATCTTTGCATTGATAGGTAGCGTGAATTACAGATTTATTGCTATGCTGGAGAGAATTACATGAGCAACAACGATCGGTAGCCCGCATGCATGTGCACAAGGATGACATAAGCGCCACCACAGCACGCGAAGAACAGATGTGGCATCCACGTTGGCCTAGGGCTACGTTTCCGGGATGATGTTGGCTAGTTCCTTGGTGCCGGTGTGCGCCCAAATGTTGGAGATATAAGAAAATGCGTCTGAATGTGTGCAACTCTAGTCTAGCACCTGATTTTCCTAGGGTTTTCTCTTCAACCGGCGGCACCGTCATCGTCGCGTGCATTGGTAACCCCGGATCTGAGTGTCTGAGTCCGTGGTAGAGATACAAGTGGTGAGATAATGACGACGGCATGGAAAAACTCTCCCACCCTGCCCTTGTTCATGTGGTGTTTTGTACCGTCAGGAAGCGTGCGGAGAAAGTGGACCTTGTGGAGATGGCGCTCGGCAAATGGTTGGTGCTTCGGCATCGAGATGGTCTTCTGGGCTCCAATTCATCTTGAATTCGCCCAGCATGACAAGATCGAGGAAGATTCGGCGTATATTCTGCCATCTTCTCGAGGCTGTAAGGTGTGTGTGCGTGCATTTATAGAGGTGAGTTTCTTGTCTGGCATACGACCTTTAAGTTTTGGTGTCAAAGGCCGCAGATCAATTCGAGGGTACACCGACAACGACTGTGGCTTTGGGGAATTATTTTGTATGGACACGTGCAGACGACTTTCCGACTGTTATTGACAGGGTCATGCCGACTCCGATAGGCAAGTAGCTATAGCGGCACGTCATTGGCTCGTTTTCACGGTGATAGTAAACGCTGAGTGGCCTAAGGACTTCGATGTAATTTTTATTATGTTTGAGTTGCTTTGTGTTCTGATGATTCATCTTTATTCATGTGTCTTGAGGTTGGATCCTTCCGATCTAAATTTCTCTTCATCGACGGCGGTTGCTGTTCTGGTGCCTTGATCCTATGGGGTCTTA